CAACTAGAAAACAGCCCGAAATCTGGAATTCTCTGGAAAGCCTGGTGCTCGCCGAAAAAAACCACTGTCAAAACAAAACGAGCCATTTTGTAGAAAATTTAGTTGTCTGTCGACTGATGTGCTTTCTGGACTTTTTAGACAAAATTTCTAGGTCAGAAAATTGAAATTAAACTTTTTTAAAAACTTAATCAGCGACTAACCTTTTTCGGTCAGTTCTGCTAACTTTAAATCAATGTTCTATACGCCATTCGATGCATAATTGATCACTGTACACAAATCAAGAACAAAACTCGTGAGACCCTTGAACTAGCATGTCAAAGTATCCCAAATACTCGAAAAATCATCATTTTCAGAATCGTGATTTTTCGAGTATTTTGTGTCTAGGCAAATGCTAACAAGCTCAGTTTTAACGCATAATTACAGCATTGATAGCCCATTTTGTCCTCTATCGAATGCTATATAAACCGTCTTCCTCGCACATATCGTTCAAAAGATATCGATCGGATACTGAACTCGGTCGAAAATGCACGTTTTTCATCAGACATCGTAGCTGTTCGACCTCGGTCTCCTCGAAGTAGCATTTTGAAAACGAGATATTCTGGGTTTCTAGGTTTCTTTAGATGCTCTATGGATCTAGCATACCAGGGAAAGAATCTGAGATTCGACAGGTGCCAGCAGTCTGGAAAAAGGTCGATTTTCTCATGGAACGTCTCTTAAGCGCCCCGTCCTTTTATCGAGTGCTTCGATATATGGTACTATACTCGATGGTCTCATGGAACCACACTAAAGTACATTTGTACTGATGTTACTGTACTGGGTACAAGTAAAAGTATAGACGTCCGATTTTGTACTGCCAAAAATGTACTTCGTATCTAATATTTCTCAGTAAAAGCACCAAAAAATACTAAGTATTTTACAAAGTATCCAGTCTCTGGTGTAAGGAAACATGTTCAGGAACGAAACGCATTCCGTGGCATCTTCGCATGGGAACGTTATGAGACCCGTTCCTTTTCGAGAGAAACGTATTTTAAAGCATTTCTTTCTTGAAGTGATCCGAAACGCATTCTGATAAACGAACGTTTCGCATCGTTCCATAAATCCACAGCTGTAAAATGCGGTCGAATCGAGAGAAAAATGCTGGAAAATATGTTTCGTGGTAAATATCAACCAATTTTTGAACTCATGAGAATAATCTTTGAAGTACTCGTCATTTTACTGTCTCTTCGGATGTGGATATCAATGAGCTCACTCTGATTCGCTTCCAGATGGCTCTGTTATATCTTGCAGACTTTCGTGTCTTTAAATCGATTCGATATTTTATTTCGATAATTATTACATCTGGTTTTATTGTAAGTGTTTATTCTCTTGACTATATCCAAAATCTCGAAGCAGTTCGAAAATGACTCAACCTAAAGCATGAGCTTTTCTTTCATTTTCTCCATTCGACTTTTAAATTTCAAGATTGTTTTATGAGTAGACGGTAGAGAATGGCTGGCTGTTTCTAGCGCTTTTTCGTGATATTGAAGAGCTTTTTTGTAATCAGAGTTTTTCTCATGTACTATTCCAATACTACTGTATGTTTCTCCCAGATGCGGATGAAATTTTGGCAAAGCAATGTTTTGAATTTCTAATGTTTCCTGAAAACATTCCATTGCTTTCTCAGCTTTCTCCATTTTTAAATAAACATGACCGATGTTATGATATGTTAAAGCAAGATCAGGATGATCTGGTTGCAACATTTGTCTATCGATTTCCAATGATTTTTCATAATAAGCTAAAGCTTTTTCGTACTCTTGTTCGTATAAGTAGACACTACCGATACCCAGATATGTATTTGATACTTCTGTGTGATTTGAAGGTAATGATTGAAGAAAAATATTTAACGCTTGCTCGCGATATTTTAGCGCGTGTTGATAATCTTCAAGTTTTCTGTATGTGTTTCCTATGTTGAGGTATACTACCGCGAGTTGTGGATGATTATCTGGCAAGATCTTTAGTCCAATATCGATTGCTTTTGAATAGTTATTCAAGGCATCACTCAATTCTTCCCTGAAGTCATGTAACAATCCCATATTGTTGTATGTCTCCACTAGATCACTTTGATTCGTTGCTGAAGCAGTTTGTCTAATGTCTAATGCTTTTTGATGAAGATTTAACGCTTCTTCGTAGTCGCCTTCCGAACGATAAACTTCAGCAATATCGTTGTAAGATTGGGCTATATCAGAATGGTTTGGACTTAGAGTCAGTAATCTTAATTTGAGTCCTTTGTTCAAATAAGATAAAGCTGATGAATAATTTCCTTTATCTAGATGTACCAAACCTAATCCATGATGTACAAATGGCATTAACTCATGATTGTCTGACAAGTGCGTCAGTAACATTAGGTAAAATCGTTCAGCTTTATCATATTCTCCCATGGACCATAAATGATCTGCTAGTGTCACTACCGTAGGCGTTTGCCCAATTTTCCTCTTGTAATGAGTAGCAAGGCTTTTCAATTTCTCATTTTGCTCATCGCATAAAGTGAGTTTAATATGCCAATAATTGTTACGGAATTCAACAGACTCTATTAGAAAGATACTGCCCATGGAAAGTAGTACTTCTTTTTCATCTTCAATCGCGCTTAATTTCTCAATATTAGCAAATGGTTTTTCTGCGGAGCTTGTTTTGTCAATATCCATTTGAAACACTACAGACTCAAACAGTGGTCGAGAGCCACCCTCTCCGCTATATATAATTGCTATAGAAAGATCAGTTGTTGTTGATACAAACGTGTTGAATAAAATAAGTCCGCCAATGTTCTGGTGTAACTTGTTCAATTCATCGGTGACCATGAGTTGCCCTCGGTAAACTGTGATAATATGTCCTTCAGATTGCAAAATCACAAATTCTGCATGTAACCTTTTCAATTGTTCATAGAGATCCACAATAAAAAAGCGAAATTGAAACAAAAGTTCAATATCTTCCGTGCGAAATGCCTTATTCAAAAGACGATAAACGAATGTGTCTCGTGTGTACCACAACACAGCATCATTCAGTGAATAACTTGATTCAAAATCGTTGATATTTTTTTGTTCAATGTCATTACCAACATATTGCGAACGACATATTTTTAGCATATCTCCTCTTGCATCAATAGTGCGCGGTATGCGCAACAATATATCAATCAACAGCTGTAACCACATATACATTGTACCTTCAGTTTTTAGGTCTTGAATGGATTTTTCCTTCGTACTGTTACCGAATATACTTGTTTGTATCAATGATTTCGAAAACAATGAAACATCTGCATTCACTTTCGAAAGAAGTAACTGCTCGTCTGTGAAAACCCCACGTATTTGTTTCACATAAGTGTTGGCCCACTTTTCATGCTTCAATTTGTCTCTGCAAAATACATATATAAAAGCCACTTGAGGTAGCTGGTATATTTGTGGAACAATATTCTCCCCCAAAGACCCCGATACAATTAAAAATACTTTCTCATTTTTAACAGACAATATATAGTCTAGGCATTGATTCGGATTATCAAAGGTCTTTAGATAATTGATGATCGACCTTAAACGAACTTGGCGATGGTCATTATTCGGTTTACGGATATCAGCATCAAACCACACTACGGTCAGATCTTCGAGGTTTTCAGTTTTGTTTTGAAGTATTCCATTTGTTTTGTTTATGGCTACCGATACGGTTGGAATTGGTGATGATTTTGAGCAACATCTACCCATGTCTAATAGCTGACACTTTCATATCTATGTGTATAAATTAAATGGATAAGAATTGCAGTACTTTTGTGCACAGTAGAGACATTAGCCCCTTGAGGACGGGGTTACTTTTAAGAAAGCAAAGGAGAGTTTTGAAATCCTGAAGGATATATTTATTCATATCGATAACAAAAATAACGCCTAAAAGTACTTTAGAGTATGATAATCTTGAAAACAACCAGAAATACAAAGTCCGACATCACATTCAGTACATTCGTATCTGGTGTCAGTCCTCTTTGTAGTATAACAGATTAACGTTCTATGTGCGAGCCCAGATCATAAAAACACCGTAAGAGACATACGCAAATCGATTATGAGTCGATTTGAAGCTGGACGTATATATACGTCGCCCGTCCCCGAGGGGTTAACATGGCAATTTCCAAGTTACGAACGTCACTTCTGTTTTTTTCTTTCCAAACTTTGATTTTTCAAGCTTGCCAGAGAAAGGAAAAGGACATTTTCTTTTTTCCTTTTATATTATTCATTTCTGTAAATGCGAGAAATGAGGTGTGGGATGAGACAACTTTGAGGATAGCGACTTGAGATTTTGAATGGACAGTAGAATTAATGAAGCGCAGTGGCAAGTTTATTCAGACACGGGAATTTTCGACTTTTAGTGAGACGGTCATTTTCAACCTTCGATGACAATAATGCTCGGAAAGCTTGATGTTACATGAACAAACATAAACATAAACACAAAACAGAAACAAGAAGACGTTGAAATAGCATCTGGTCAACGACAAGTGTGAAGAAATATAGACTCAAGTACTTAATACTCCTGATTGCATGTCAACTTTGAGGATAGCGACTTGAGATTCGAATCAGGTTTTCGAGCATTATTGTCATCGAAGGTTGAAAATGACCGTTTCACTAAAGGTCGAAAATTCCTGTGTCTGAATAAACTTGCTACTGCGCTTCATTAAATCTACTGAGTCAGACAAGCCTGAGGGTTGGGTGAGGGTGAGTTTAATAAAGGAATGAACTCAGAAGAGAAAGCAAGATTCCAGAATCCACTAAAGGATCTCCTTTCGATATAATGTGTTATACTTGTTCATGTCATTACAAAAAATAAAGACTGTGTCGACTTGACGCAGAGTATGCACTTTTTCAAGCAAAGTGGCCGACGCATTGCTTCTTGATACAATCAATACGATTGTTTCAGTCATACATTTTCCCATGTATTCGATGCATGCGGCTTCAGTCGAAAATAGTTGTACAAAATCGTTAAGCTCACGTAACACTGTTCTTGTCAATCGAACATCTTCTCTAAACAAGGTATTTACTTCTTCTGTTCCAACATCATACCAGACGAGTGTAGTTGATTCTCGATTGATTCATGTTTCATCGTCGCTTGTACCTGCTTCAAGTTTCACCGTTTTCACGTTTCGTTCCAGTTGAATTTCGTCGGCACCACTTTTCTCCGCCATAGCATTGGCGGTGGCATGCGTTAAGACATGCGCGTATGATGAGTATTTATACTGTGGATAATATGTTTTACGTTGGCATTTTCCAACCTACCCCCTACGCAACATGTCGTGTGGAGATATGTTTTCCTCTTGCGCGTAGCATGATACATGAATGGTGCTTTTTCTTCGAAGAATGACTCATAATCGACTCAATGCGTATATATGTCTTCACGAGAAATAGCTTACATATAATGTTTGATAGAAAAACAATCATATTTAATACTCTTTCACTCAACTTCTTGACACTAATGTATTTCAAGTGATCAATAAACTTGGAGCGATAAACAACTTTAGTGGTTTCTATCATACCATGAGAATTCACTTTAGTGCTGAAAAAAACACCTATTAACACTCAAAACAATGTATTTAGACTCCGCAATTGAATTAGAAGCACCAAAAGAAGTTTTTGGAAAACTCACGACTATGAGAAAGGAATAAGATAACAGTTTTTCCTTTATTTAGGTGATTCGAAACGATAAAGTTTCTTCGTTTTGTACAGCGGGATAAGTCAAATGATGACTGAATTTCGTCGTTGAGATCGAATGGAGAACAAGTAAGTCAATAAAAAATCGAATGAGTACGACGCTGCACTGTAAGAAAAAGGTGCTTTGGTGAACCTTTAGAGTTTCAGAGATTGATCAAATACTGTGAAAACGTTCCTGTCAGCCGCTTGAACCTTTTTTCCGTTTAACGGATTGATCGTTTATCAGTTAACAAGTTTATCACAATTTAAGAGGGTTTCCGTTCACGAAAAAGGTTTTTCAGATGGGGTTTCATCTAAGTTGTTGAGATGTTCATTTTCGAAAAAACCGTCACACGGTTTATTGTTTTATCATCTAACGGTTCTTCGTCATTTTTATAAGGTTTTTAGAAATAATAGGTACTCGATTCTACGTTGGCGGGTATTTATTTTTTTATTTAGGTCGGAATCGTCTGAAGTAACTTATGTGATTCTACGACTTCATATTTCCGAAACTCAGCTAGATAACTGATTGGGTTGCAATGCCATTTCATCCAGTACTTCGATTGTGATTTTGTCCTGTTTTGAAGCAATTCAGTTTTACAAGCTTGAACAATTTATCTTTGCTGCGTATGTCCCACATCTATCATCAACTAGATCTGACTTTCAATATCACTCAATAAGTCTCAGAGTCCACACAATCAGTGTCTATCGAGATCCAGCCAAGTTCACTTCCCTTTCTTTCTCCAAATCAATCTCTTCAATCTTAAGATCAATCGTCGACAATGATCCGAACAGTCTCCTCCATCGAGAGTGAGTGGAATCGTATTCTTTTTCTTTTCTAGATCAATCGTTGACTATAATCTGAAGACGCTTCTCGATCGAAAGTGAGTGGAATCTTCTACTCTTTCTCTATCCAAATCAATCTCTTCTTCCTTTAGATCAATTGTCGAGACAGATCAAAACACAGTCGTCGCTCGATAGTGATTGGAATTGACCTCTTTCTCTCTCTGCAAATGGAATCTCTTTGTTTTCCAGATTTATCGTCGACAATGATCCGAACAGTCTCCTCGATCCCCGGTAAGTGAAGTCCACATCTCTTTTATTTTCTAGATCAGTCGCCGACGATGGTCGAACCACTCTCGTTGATTGAAGGTGAGCGGATTTCACTTCTCTTTCCCTAGATGATTTTTTCGTTTTCTAGATCTATCATCGACAATGATCCGAACATTCTCAGTGAGCGAAAGTAAGTGAAATTCACTTCTGTTTCTCCAAATTAATTTTTTCGTTTCCTAGATTTAGCGTCAGCGAAAATTTGAAGAAGCTTGCCGATCGAAAGTGAGAGAAATTCACTCCTCTCTATACAGTTGAATCTCTTTTTCTTTTCTAGATACCTCCTCAACGATGATCCGAACAGTGTCGTGGATCGAAAATGAGTGGACTTTACTGCTCTCTTACGAATGAATATCCTTTTCTTCTCAAGATCCAAGGTTGATAACTATTGGGGGATTGTGGCGCATAGAAAGAATGATGAGGTCGCCGCATGGTTTGGCAATACTTAGTAGACGCTCGTTGACGATGAAGGTTCGATCCACGGCAAATATAAGTGAGTGATATAATATCTTACGAACTGTTTTGCTGAGTTAGCAACAAGGTCGCATCAAAAGGGCTACATCTAACAAGCAATCATTGGCACTTTCTATTTGCTTTTTTCTTATACTTACATTTTCATCACGTACGTTATTGGTTGTGAGTTATTCCTCCTACTTAGTATCTTTTGGCGTGATTAGGAAAAAACATACGATCGTTCCTGTGTTAAAATCATTACTATTGGCTTTAATACCAACAGTAACTGCAGCTTCGCTTATTTCAAGTTGCCGCAGAAAATCATTGTTCAGTATAAAACAATATGTTGGTTCAATGCAAGTTATTTGATCGGATTTGTGACAATACCAATAGGAATATTTGTGATGCTAAATGTAGTCCTCATTGCTATAATTACCGTTTATCAACTGTCTAAAGCTGAACAGTCTCACTCATCTAATATGCGGCTTGTCCACGTAACGCGATAAGTCGCTGATTAAGTTTTTAAAAAAGTTTAATTTCAATTTTCTGACCTAGAAATTTTGTCTAAAAAGTACAGAAAGTACATCAGTCGACAGACAACTAAATTTTCTACAAAATGGCTCGTTTTGTTTTGACAGTGGTTTTTTTCGGCGAGCACCAGGCTTTCCAGAGAATTCCAGATTTCGGGCTGTTTTCTAGTTGGGGTTTGAATTTTAGAATGCCCATTCTCCCGTAAATCGTGAGTACCTAGCAAGAGCTCTGGTAAAGATAAAAATAAAGCTTATGGCTAAATTTGTTTGCTTCATCTCCTGTATAACACTGGGTACTGCATGGATGATTGGATCCTTGTTCAGTACGTTTACGTCGTCGTCAACATCGAACACTGGTAGTGAGGTAGCGCAATGGATATTTACGCTATTCGTTGGTTTAGAAGGAGTATGGAATTTGCCAGCTTACTTAGTAATGGTAATTAAACATCTGTTGGTATCAAGACGATATCGCAGCAGATAGAAAATCGTAGCTCCATAATGAGCCTTTGTTTAGAATCCATGGAAAGAGAAGGCAGGTGCAATTAAGATCTTGGTTTCGTTTTCAATTTTCTTTCATCACATTAGTGTAAGCTGGTTTTACCAATATATTTTCCACAATTGAATACTGGATGAAATATTTCATCTAGCAAGTTAAAATGTATCTTCCGAAGCAACTTCAGAGGTTTTTGTTTTATTTTGTGCATTTGCATCTAAAAGTTTCAGTTTATTAAATACGATTTTCGAGAAACTTATTATAAAGTTTTTTCTCGAGTGTATAATTAAAACTTTTCAAATTTGGATGCAATGATATGATGATGAAGATCTTAAACCATCCCATAAACTGCGAGTTGTTTTGAAATGATTTCTTTCAATCGAGTTGTGCAAATAGTGGTATTATCATCAATTACTGAACGACTAAACAATAGTTGTTTATAAAGTATAATAAGATGAAATACTGTGTGTTTTTAGTACTCACCTGTTCAATTACATCATTAAAATGTTTCAGTAATATATAAATAAGTTGCAATTCATTATTACTAATAGTTAAATAATTTAGCTTGATCGCCACTAGTGACATTCGGTAATTTATTGATACCATAGAATACATAGCACAGGTGGACGAGTGCCTTTTCCACACATAAGAATTTGCATAGTACTCTGTACAACTTGCTTTAATTTCAATCTTGAGGATTTACTTAGGCTATCTTTAGCTCCCTCGCAGAAATCGCCTTGCAAACTTTCTGCCTCATCATCGCCACGTATCTCGCCAAGTTTCGATAAATGCACTTGCGGGAATCGTTCCGCGAGCTTTCTGCTCCATCGCCGCCTAGTTCATTGTCAACTATTCGTATAATTTTCCTCTGGCGCTACCTCATCGATCCTCCTGAGTATGAAAAATCTCTGCTAACATACGCTATTCATTGTTTCATGATGCATCATGGGTCACAACAAGAACCACCACCTTTATTATAAAAATAGATCAAAATAAACATAACATCTTTCGCTCACAAGAAAAAATGTCCTTCGTGGGAGTCACGTCGTGAAGTTCTTGCCTCGTCATCGCCTCGTGCCTCGTTAAGCTTTCAAAAACTCTTCCTCCTCGTCCATCGCCTACCTCTGATATAGAGTTCATCATTAAATATGAACCATTGAAAATGAGTTTTACAATAACTTTAAACCTTAATTGTTGATAAACTATATTTACGACATTTTCTAACATGTGTAACAAAGTCAAGAAGACACTAAACGATGATTGCAGCATTTTATGGATTAGGTGACTTTCATCAAAAGTACTTTCATTAAAGCGTTTTTTTTAATGACAGTATCGGAACTTTCATTAAAAATTTTAGCAGGAGATTCATGAAAATGATTTTGATAGCACAAGAATTTCAGATTGTCATTATGATACTAATTGACTCTTATTGTTAACAAATAAGCACGAAACAGAAAAGAAAAAATATTACGTCCCCTGAAAGAAGGAAAATTATTCCTAAGTTGTCAAGACAGTCAAAAGTTCTCTAATGTGAGATACACTTGAATATATGTGAGCGATGTTGTTGAGAGAAACTTTCTCTAAATTTGTCCCTTTGCTTCGTTGTCCAGTTCTTAACGGATGGCTTTGAAAGATAACTTGTTCTTTTCTTTCTTCTGTTAAATATGAATAATGGTATATTTGTCTTGTGTAACTTGACGGTAAGTAATTTTTGCTATGAACGGAATCCACAATCCTGTTTCTTTTGTGTTCAACAACTCATTTAGTAACCATGGAAATACGTAATCATCGAAATTAAATCGACGAATAAATCAGTAAAATATTTTACCCATAGCTATTTGATTTAGAGCTATCTCTTTTATTTTTCTTATGTATTTTGCTTTATTTGATGTTTTGCTGCTTTTTTAACTGAATTGGACGAATTTCATACTTCATAAGATGCACTGAATCCTCGAAACAATGAATTTTAACCAGCAATGGCAGAATTCCTACATTTCAGACATTCTAGAGAATTGTACATTTTCCCTATGAATTCTAACGACAACTATTTCACAGCTAAAGCCTGATATGTTCTAGTTGTTCTCAAAACAGAAATCTAGAAAATGTATAGAATTCTACAGAATTCTATTAGTGACTAGGAGTGGGGGGAGGGCTGGCGTGCAGAGTATGATAGTGAGTCACTAATCAACTATATCTGTACTAACGTAGAATTCTGTAGAATTCTAATCGATTGCGTATAGTCCATTCATTTTCAAGGCCATCCATAGTCACAGAGTGCCAGTCCTGGAACTCCCAAGACCATCGTCTTTTTGAAAACCTCCAGCACAATGCAGAATCACTGACGCTAATGGGCGTTATGGCCAATGGCAGAGCACACATAGAGGAATATTTGGCAATTTGAACGGTAGAGCTCTATTGGACTTTAGCTGTTTGTAGCGTTTACAAAATACAGAATGATGCACTTTTGATACTAAATTTTAGCGTATTAGATTTTTTTGTTGTAGCAATTTGAGTTCAATTGAAATGATTTTTCCGTTAAAATGGAGCTCATAGATGAATAATTCTTTTCAGATAGTTTTTCAAATTAAACTATTCCAGTAAGTTGGCCAAACAATTAACTTTATCTGAGGGTAATGATTTTTGAACAAATTTCTTAGTTTGTGTTTTTCCAAAGTTGAACTTAATGTCTGAAAATGCTATTTCAGGACAAGATAGATAAAACACAGAAGTAATTATTTCGATGTTTAAACTTTGAAAAATAACACTTTCGTTTTATGTCTGCCTGGTTGCCCACTGTGCGGTTGTAGGTGAGCATCTAAATCATCATTTGCAACCTTTTTTTTCGTTCTCATGCCTTTCTTCTTCACACTCGTCTTACCTTTACCTTTATTGCTTTTCTGGCATTTTGTTTTCTCCCATAACTTTTCGACATGTGAGACAGACAAACAAAAAATAATACCCAAAGAGACTACCGACAACAGAAGCATTGAAGATTGCGTGCACTAGAATTCATTTTTTCCTAATTTAACGTAAGAAGAGCGTGAAGAAGGAACGCACGAGAACGAAAAAAAGGCTGCGAACGATGATTTAGATGCTCATCTGTAACCGTATCAAGTTTACTCTGGTGATACGATGATTGATTATCAGAAGCAAAACGTTGAAAAATAAAAAAAAGCAAGGGGAATAAGAGAAGACCAGTAAGAAACCAGTGAACATCTAGGTGAAAAGGACGGAAATAAGTTCGATCTTGCAGCTGCCAACCACAATGCCAGGAACAGGGACATTGAAACAAAGGCAGTCTACCATCTGTATTTGTAAAATAGTCTTTCCATGTAAGCTGAAAGATAAATTAAAACCTCTAAAAATCACAGTTAGCCCCAAAAGATCACACAGAGGGAGGCCGAGCACAAATCAACAGTTTCTCTATATCTTTCATTAAAAGTCAGAAAAGTCACTCAAATAAACCGTCATACCGTACTAAAAAAGTTGCGTTTTTAAGTGTAGGCGTAGCTGCTTTAACTGCGATATTTGAAAAATCGAAATTACTTCCGTTCTTGAGGGTTCTCGTTTAAATACTGAAGCAACGCAGCTAAACATTTTGCAACCCCTTGAATACGTGGATGATTTGCAGGCAATGAGTTTCGGAAAACCAAAAGTGATTTGCTACTATACTCAACAGCTTTTTCATAATTTTTCATAGCAACGAAGATGCTTGCAGTCTTATTGTACGTTGTGCCAATACCAGGATGATTTTCAGGAAGTAGACGTCTTTGAATATCTAAACTTTTTTCAAACCAATCTAATGATATTTGTAACTGGTTGTGGTCTTTGTAAAACTTGCCTATTATTTCATAAGCGCCAGCACGGTGAACAGAATTATTGGGTAAGAGATCTAACGCTTTATTCGCGTACTCAAAAGCTAAGTTATAGTCATTTTTGGCATTATACAGATCAGCAATCAGTCTATAACTGAGAGCACGATTTTCGTTCACACCAAGTTTCATCCATACGAGAGCATCTCTTTGGAAATACATCAATGCTTCATCATAGTCGTTCCATTCCATTGCAATTAATGCAAGTGCACGATAACAGGAGGCTGTATCACTGGCATCTAAAAGTTCTGCTTCATTCAAGAGTTTCAATAAATAGTTTTTAGCCTTTTCAAAGTCATGCTGTGCATACAGGAAATAACCAAGTGAAACAAGTCCATTTGATGACTCCTTCTTCTCCGTTTGTGTCATTAGGTTTTTTAGCTCAGAGTCATCGGCTGAACATAGAGATAGTGTTACAATCCACATTTGTTCCTGTGTATTGAATTCAAATTGTCCAATTCTGAAGATAGTTCCTAACATAAACATATTTAACATTTCACCTTCGGCACATTCAAAAGAACTAAAATGTTTGATCGGGGCAAACCATTTTTTGTTTGGATAACCAGTGTCAATGTTAAACTGATAAAGAATACGACAGTACTCAGGCGTTATTATCAGCTGCTTCAGAGAACTAATAGCATTTGATTTCACTGTGGTTGTTACTAAGAAGTTCTTAAATGAAACGTATTCGCCGACACTTGCACGAAGAAGATTGAGTTCTTCAGTAAGAATTCCTTGTACCCGATAAAAGCGAAGAATTCGATCACCAACATAGTAAGTAAGAAACTTTAATTTTCCGTGCTGTAGTTCCAACTGATCCACTAAATCACAAATAAACGATCTCAATGCAAAGATTACATCAAAGTTGTTGTCTCTTAGTGCTTTCTTCAATATACGATAGAAACAGAAATCTCTAGAATACCAGAGAATAGCACTTTCTGGATCGTAATCAAGTTCAAACTCTTCTAAATTACTGAGCTCGTAATCATTTCCTTTGTAGACTTGTTTACAAACGTCGATTAATTCTTGACGAGAGCCAGTACCACGCGATGAATTTGACATTTCTAATAAGTTGTCAAGAAACAGCTGAAACCATTGGAAGGTGGCATTTGCCGATTTTATATCATCACCTGTGGAGCGACGATAAATAGTAATTCCAACAGAATCATCATCGATTCGTTCCTGAATTCGTTGAGCTTTTGTCACTTCCAAAACTAGTTCATCAAGTTGTGTGAAGACACCCTTCACCTTTTAAAAAGCGAAAAAAAATAAAGCAAACTGACCAATAATCAGAGATGAAACACAGCGAAAACTTACTTTAGCAAACTGTTTTAACCACTTTTTCTTTGATTCTTTTTTCGTGCAGTAGACGAAAATTGAAGTCACAGTACGAAAATCGTGTAGAATTGGTACAGCTTCCCGTCCAAAACTTTCAGAAACAATAAAAACTAGTTTCTGATCCGTTTTTAATGCTTTGATATAATCCACACACTCATCGCAATTTTCAAACATTATTATTTCATTGACTGCACGTCTTAACTTCCTCTGTACAACTAAGTTTCCTTCGGTGGTATGCACATCTTTATCGAGCCATACCAACAAATAGGTTTCCAAGTTAGCCGTCGTTCGAAAACGAATTTGTTGCGGTAGACATGTACTTGTTGTGGCAGTGCTGCCTGATGAATCGGACTTTGTCGAAATTGTTGTTTCTTTATCCCAACAACTGGGGTTAGATAGTGTTGGATCTGGTTTTTTCGTTGCAGATGAATAAGTAGGAAAGTTATCAGCCATTTCAAAAATCCACTTTATTTTCTTCGCAGAAACATCAAAAATGAAATTAACGAGTTTTGTGGTGAACTCACCAGCGAGAGACTAATAATACCAAATTTAAAAAATGAATACAAGAAAAGTAGATAATACATACTAAGAGGGTCATTCTTTATATCACACCCGTCAGATGTTTTACTAAACTAATAGAATTCGTTATGCATTTTAAACAGCTCCGTTCTTTTAAAATGGCTAAACGGGTTTAAGAACTCTCTCTTGATATATCATGTCAAGACAGTCGCCGAAACGCTATTGGAAATGTTTTAAAACTAACAAAAAGTTCAAAGCGTATTCGCAAACGACTAAAAATCTTTGCAGAAGAATTTCGGGAACTGTCGTCACATGGCATACTAAGGGAGAGCTCTTGAATCCTTTTAGTCATTTAAAAAATTCTAATCTTCGTTTACACGGTAAAACTTTCCCAACACTTCGACTCATAGTGAGTGGAGAACACGATTTTCATCTTAAGGCATACTGAAATTCTCGAAATGATTTTAGGAAAACGATGTTTTTCTTATTTATTGTAGAACTACCTAAACGTGTGTCAAAAGAGACGGGATGATTCTACAAAAAAGAATTTCGAAACATAATTTAAATGTTCAAAGTCAGATCCCAATATCTCAGCACAATGATGAGCTAAAGGTATGAAATGTGATGTGGTAGGAGGAGACACAGTAAGAAAAACAAATGAAAATAAAGCTTTTTAAGATTGTTTTACCCAAAGAAGAGTTATAGGTCAAATACTACCTACTATTGTAGAAAAAAAGTTACGATTCACTCATATATAGATTATCTCTGAATTTTTTCAAAAGTATGTTGAAAAATCAACATTTAAATTATGTTTCGAAATTCTTTTTTTGTAGAATCACCCCGTCTCTTTTGACACACGTTCAGGTAATCCTATTCGTCTATAAATTAAGAATTTGTACTCTAGAAAAAACAACAACTCATTCACAAAATTATGAAAACGTGTAGCATGGAGGTTCGAAGTTGTTTTTCAGGATTGTGGCTGATGTTCGAAGGTTTCTAGGATATAATTTATTTTAAATATTTTTGTAAAATACAAAAAGAAAATACGTATAATGTTTCGGTAATATTTACACCATGAAAAGCCAGACGAACAAAGTGGTTTAAAGCTATTTTAATAGTATATTCAACAAAAGCACGGTAGAATGCTAACGAAAATTTACTCTCCATCTTAAAATTTAATATAGATAAACCAGTGATATATCTGATAAATTTTGTATGATACTTATTCTTAGAGTGCGGTGTGAATTTCGATCTAACAATCAACGTCTGTGTTTTCCAAAATAGTGACACTAAAAACTTCTATTATTGTTAGGTCTTGTTCAACATGAACAAATCAAAGAGGAACTATTTAAACAACAGTGTTTACCCCTATTAATCCGATGTGCTACAGAAACAAAATTTGATAAAGTCAAGACACAACAACCTGCATTGGATATTCTATTAGCATTAGCATTTAATGAACAGGTTGCGACGGCATTGAAAACTGATGAAAAATTTATGACATATCTAAAATCTCTCTTATCGTCGTCCAATGAACTTGGTTTACAAAAAGCAGCTGAAACAATTCTTTGGAAATTGGAAAAAGAGGAAAACTTGTTAGCTGCAGCTCCACCACAAACAAATAGTTCAATATCAACAGCACTATCCATCTATAAATACGATATAATGATTAGTTATAGCCATTCAGATAAAGATTTATGTTATGAAATACAAGAATGTTTAGTACAACAAAATCATTTTCGTGTTTGGCTTGATCGTGATAATATGCATGGAGCAACTATGCAAGCCATGGCCAATGCTATTGAACAGTCTGAATTCGTTCTCCTCTGCATGTCTGATACATATAAACAATCGGGCTATTGTCAGTCGGAAGCACATTATGCTTATGAACGACAACGACAAATCATTCCATTAATAATGAAACAACAGTATCGACCTGACGGATGGTTAGGAATGATTGTTAGCGGTAAAATTTATATTGATTTTCCTAAACTAGGATTTGATGTAGCCTATCGAAAACTAATAACAGAAATTCAACAATATCGATCATCTCAAATAACAGCAGCAGCGTCGATTGTTCCAGTTATTCATCATCATCCCACTGTTCAAGACAAAGAGCAAAACAAAGATGAAAAGTAAGTCTCGTTTGTCGTTCTAAGAGTCTAAGAATATTTGTTTCCTTGTTTCATAGCTCAAAACAACATTTAATTCGACCGTATGGTCATTGTATCTTTACATGGACCGAAGAAGATGTTATAAGTTTTCTCTTGGATAAGAAATTACATTCAATGTTACCTTTATGTGAAGGTATGAATGGTCACCGTCTATATAAATTATTTAGAATGTGTGAAACGGATACAACAGATAAAACAATGTTTCAAACATTTAATAAAGAATTGACTGATACACATAGACAGAAACCATTAACATTAAGCATTTATCTAAAGTTTTTAGATGAAACCCAAAGATATATACCAAAAACAACACTCTCAGTAAAAGACTCTCCGGCATCAGTTATATGCACATTAATGTGACATCCTGTTCTATTTACGTTACAAATCACACGGTCATTTCGGCTTTTTTTTTATTAAATAATTTTTTACGATGTTATTTCTATTATATTGAAAATCGCAGAAGGAAAATTTTATCCGAGTGTCCAGTTTTTTCTAACTAAAAAACATGGAATTAAACGCGACAAGTTCTTGTTGTTCTTTGATACTAGCGCGTATAACTTTCTGTTTACTTCTGTTTCATACGATCACAGAGGGAAATTTTGTTTTACACTTCAGTAGTCAGCTCAAGGGGGAAACGATCTTTCAAAAGGGTGCACACACTCATAAGTGACAGTCACTTTAAGTTACACTCCAAATGTCACGTTTATTTTTCTGTTTGAATAAGATTTGAGCGGTAGTGATGGTAAAGTCGCGTTTCGCCACTTCAGCTTTCTCCAAAAGACATTCGTCTATATATTGGCGGTTGGTGAATGTCGCCGAGACATTCGCCAAATACCTTTCCTCAGTATTCATTTGATAGTCCGTGTTGAATGTTTAAAAATAAGAAACTATCACCTCCCTTTATTAAACAACAATCAGAATCCTTTTGCTAAACGAGTCTTAACTTTTGTGAAAGCAGTAGCCGTTCTTTTTAGTTCCTTTTGCGAAGATAGTCTACTAATCGACATTCGCCAATAACGATACCCCAAACTACACTGATACTCTAAACTATTGGCGAATGTTCACGCAACATTCGCGAATTGGTGAATATCTATTTGCCAATTGACGAATGTCTGTTGGCGAAAGTTGTATTGGCGAACGGCGACAAATCCGTAGTGATTGCTAAGTTTTCGCCTTTATAGTAAGAAAAAGTAACAGGTTTCGCAGTCCATGCATTTTATATTTTGGAACATATCGGGCTGAATTCTTGACTTTCCGGGAAAAAGCAGTGACACTTAATCACTTAAGTGACACTCCAGAACTTGAACACTTAAAGTGACACTTAACCCGGAGGTGCACACACTTAAAGGCACTTAAAGTGAGGTTTTTCCCCCCTGAGTCAGCTCCTGTTTGCGACACTGAACATCGCACAGTTTAAACATTTCTTTCTAAATGTAGAGATGGAGAATTTTCTATTCTACAAAATTTATGATTTTATGCATCGCATTCTTTAGACTACTTTGTTCTGTCTTTTTTTCAGATTTTTTCTAAGTTTATAATGTTCGACTGAACAGTTAAAATAATACATATTGAAGTAACGAAAATCGAAAAAAAAAATCGCTCATCAAAAAAAGTAAAGAAAACCATTCTATGAGCATAAATAAATTGATTTTATTCGATAGCCAGATAGCCCAAAGTATTTCCTACACAATGGGTGCCAGGCGAGACCTTCATGTCTAGTGGTTCACGTACGATATCAGATTTCTTTTGAGCCCCAGCACCGGTGCCCGATGCCTTGCGGTGATAAAGAATCTCGCGTTAGTCAAAAAAGCTCTGAATCACTTGTGAAGATCATCGTGAGATTTTTTGTGAAATACACTCGTGGCGCTAGTATATATAAAAAAAAGTACACAGTATTTTGACCCATGTTCGAGCGACATCTCCTAAACGATGATAGATGAAGCCACCAAACTTATGTAGTAACTATTCCTCAACATGTCCAACATTCACCAAAATTTTCGCTCAGATCAGACTTGTGGTTACCGAGATAAATTTCTGACCGGAAGGGGGGGGGGGACTTAAATATAATAATGACTGGTTCTTTTCACAAAGCTACCAAAAAAAATAGTGTCGCCGTCTGTTCGACAAGAATATTAAACAAACTGTTAGAGAAAACGATGAAAGTGAAAGGAGAAAAGAATAAAAAAAGGGCAGTGCAAAGCAACAATCTCAACAACAATATAAAGCAATTTAAAACTTCAGTTATTGATTTTTTGTTTTTTCTAACAAAGCGATCGAGAAGGGTGAGACAAAAGTATGAGAAAGGAACGGTCTGCTGGCCTGCTCACCGGTAGAAGAATATTTTTTGTTTCATAGGTGTCAAGAACATCGGTATTAATAGTCTCTCGCTGGTGAGTTCACCACAAAACTCGTTAATTTCATTTTTGATGTTTCTGCGAAGAAAATAAAGTGGATTTTTGAAATGGCTGATAACTTTCCTACTTATTCATCTGCAACGAAA